ATATATATATATATATGTATATACATATATATACATACATACATACATATACATACATATATCTATATATATGTATACTATATCATATACAATATACAGTATATATATACTATATGCTATATATATATCATATGATGGACACAAATGGAAATAAGTTTTACTTTCGTTTAAATCTTTATTTGGTTATCCAGTTTCAATTAGTGCATTTTAACTTGCAATTTGTATTTTTAATGCTTGCTTGTTTGATGTAAATATTATATTGTTGTTGAACCGTATAAATCAGATCAAAAATATAGGCCTGTATACATATATATTTATATATATTTATTTTTGAACAATTGAATAAAGCATAATCTGAAACAATTAAACAAATACCCTTTATTGACTTGAGAAACACTTTATTTTAGACTTTATTTTAGAAAAACAATAATTATGTTGACCTGTCCTCAGGAATTTTCTATTAAGAACGTATATATTTATCGTTATTTACAAGAGGTATTAGGTATTTGTGATAAGGAGGAGAACCATTAATATTTAATAATCTTGGCTAATGTAGCCTTACATATGTTTATCAGTATCATTATCTTCATTCATAATCATTGTCGTTAGCATAATCATCAGTTTCATTCTTACATCATTGTCATTATTATTATTATTATTATTATTATTATTTTATTGTTATTAAATATCATCATGGTCATTAATATAATAAATTGTATTATAATTGATTTTGATCGCGTTTCATCATTATAACCAGTGTTTCTGTGTTCCCTACTGAAAACTTACAAAATTTATCTTATCTTCTCAATTGATAATTTGCATAGGCCTATAAAAAAGTACTGTAATACAATGGCCAAGAATACATCATCAATATTATGAGAATGAATTCTATTCATAATATTTGAAGTCGATCATTAAGTAAAATCAAGCATAACATTCGAATCACCTAATGCTACATATCATTTATCGAAATACAGAATATATAGCACTACTTTATTCATAATATTTTCATCTGAACTCATATCTTAATCATCATAATGTTTATCGTTTATCATTATCATCATCATCATCATCATCACTATCGTCATCATCTAAATATGTTAATATTAGCTAATCTACTTTTGTTATTGTACATATAAATCTCACAATTAATGCATCATAATGATGAAAGACATTATTATCTTTAATGTTGCGATTTCCATTATTATCATTAATTTCATTCTCATTAGTTAATATCATCTTCATCATTATTATTATTAAATTTGATTGTCAGTATTATTTTTATTATCATTTAATTCAATCTATCAATCAATTAATCAATACACAATACATCATAATAAATCAAATAATATAAATTAATCAATCAATCAATCAATCAATTAGTCACTTTTAATCCAATCAATTACTAACTCACTTAATCAATCAATCAAATAACCAATCAAGCAATCAAGTAATCAATCAATCAATCAATCAGCATACGACATTCCTCTGTCAGGACTTCTTTGAGAACTTTCATCGTTATCTGTTCATCGTTGTCTGTTCTCTAAGCTCTCAACCCACGGCCTCTTTTGCAGGTCGTTAATACAACTCAGCATAAGACTTTCTCTCTTTCTCTACCATTTCTATGTAATTTACTAGCAGGCCTGTCGAGTCACTGTCAAATTCATAGATATTCTAACCTTTTATTACATAATTCATACGTTCATGACCACAACATGTGCATCATTAACTTCTACATCAGACGAGCTTTGTATATCATCAGGTTCACTATTAACCTCAATGACAGTTAGAAATGACGACGAGTCACTAGACGGTGGACTTCCACACTCTTCCCGATACGTGGGCGGCGGGTAGTCCGGGAAATTTTGGAAGACGTCCATGGAATAACCATTTAACTTTTCTTCATCTTTGGATGTTGCTCTTTGCAGACGCTCTTTTACATTTTCTGAGAGACTTGTCGTTCCTCCTGGATTCTCTGAGCTCCCATTTGAATCATTCGAATCAGCATCATGCTCTGAATGTATCTCTGTAAGTGTTGGTTGCTCCATGAATGATAGCGACCTAACTGGTGCGTCCCTCTTATAATATGCGGAAGAGAATTTCTTTGGTGCTTTGTATATACTGAAAGGCGCAAATTGCGAGGAAGTTCCGTGAAAGGAGCGAGAGGAACTAACCCGTGCGGTTTGTGATGGCAGCTGATACGAGTAGTAAGAGGTTGACGATGTGACGCGACACACGGTTTTGTCGAGGTTTTGAATAAGAACATTGAGGGAATCATACGAAGGTGGCGGGTCTTCCCCTTCTTGTGCCGCAAAACTGAATGTGGAAACTGTACGTGAAGATAATGCCTCGTGGTAAGATGGCGGATGATCAATTGCTTCTAAATCCTCACTTAAATTCTCACTAGATCCTTGAAAAAAAAATTGGAAGAAATGATAAATATAATTGTTCCAAGTAAACATTTTTTTCTATTAAAGTGTAGTAAAGAAATGATTCATTTGTTTTTATATCCTTATTAAATCTTAATTATTTGAGCTAATTATTCATTTGTAATCTTATCAGAGTGAGTCACCATCATCTACATTTTACCCTCGTATTTACGAGAGTCAGGAAGAAGATAGGCCTATGGCACCCTATACAATGCATACACTGCCAATAAATCATGGCGAAAACAAGGATTCACAATACTCAAATTAACATCAGCCTAATTTATGCCGCTAACATCATTGACAAAATAACAATACAATAATCAATGAAATATATAAAAACCCTTTATGCATGCCCGTTCACAACAGAGGCTAGTACATCGGCATGAGTCATTATATTGTTACAAGATACAAGATTGAATTATTGTCGACTGTACAACTCCTGTCTCTTATACACATCTAGATGTGTATAAGAGACAGAATTTTTGTTTTGTGGTTTATCAATTAAGCAACTGAATTAATACATTGAGAGAAGTGTTTCCTATTGGGAAAAATCCAGAATCTCAGATTGGCAAAATGGTTTAGTTGGTGGAGCAATAGTAATCAAAGAGCCATGTGTTCAAATCATGACAGCAACAAAAATTACCTTTTTATTGGAATAATATCATAATTAATTTATTCTATATCAACATATTTTTACTCTAATACATTCTATGCACAGCAAATGCAGTCAAACTTTATTGGAAACTTAATAAATTATGTTTTATTGGAATCATGTCATAATTATTTGAATTACATATGTTTTAATGTACTTTAAATAAATAGCAGACACTGGAAAACAGTCAAAACTTTAATTTACAGTTTAATAAATCAATTTCATTGGAACCATATTGTAATTAGCTTAAGTCTAAATGCTAGTTGCACAATGTGAACAATAGTAATTTTAATGAATGTTTAATTCCTTCCGGATGTAATATCACTTGGGGCCCGTTCTAGCGAAAAAATATCCGTGCAATTTACCAGTTAATTCTCCGCTACATACTTTTTAAAACCACTCGGACACTTGCCTAATTACTTTACCATCTGGATTCTTCGCGACAGTTTGACCACCAAGTTGCCGGATAGAATGCCGTGTATGGGATGACTATGGAGCCAGAGGCAACAAAAAATCAACCTAATTGATTTTCCAAATGTTTGTCCACAATCCAGCCAGTGAAATTCAATAGGGTTACGGCCCAGTCCTGGCTGCAGCTAGTACCTGCTATCGTCGAGCTCTCCTTCACCACCTCACATGCACGATGAAATTAAAGTTGAATTGGACAGTAAATTCATCAGTATAATGTGACATCATTGTAGCCATAATGGTGGCTAGTAGTATAGCTGTCTCTTATACACATCTAGATGTGTATAAGAGACAGGTTCAGATCTGGCTTTGTTGCAGCAATGTGTGGATGAATACATAAATATTTATGTAACTTTTAACATGTTATTTATAATTGTATTGTATTAATAAAGTTATATTTCTTTGTAAAGAAAAGTAATTGAAGACAATATTGATAATTATATTGATTATATAATGAAAATATCACTTTGATTACGTTTATTTTTTGTGCATTTAACCTATGGTTACAATGTGTAGGTGCTATAGAAACGGACAATGTCATAAATGTAAATTATTATTATCATTATTATTATTATTTTTGTTATTGTTATTATTATTATTGTTATATTATTTTAATATGTGGCCTGACTATTTTTAGTTATTTTTATATTTTGGAATTTAGTATTCATATTTTTATTGAATCATTTTTCTCACTGTCTTTTAGTTGATTTATAGTATTTCAAAATTTATCTTAAAAATAAGAACTTGTTAAATTAGCTCTTCATTTGACTTGGATCGATGGTTTGATGAGTTCTGATGAGTTTATATTTACCATTGTCTGTCTTTGCTAGTACTTCATGTGGATCATAGTATGTCTATGATAATATTATTTCAAGATTTTTTTAATATGACTCATTGTCCAAATGAAAGTATCAAATCGCTTGCAATTTTATATTATACCCCCGGTCATTGGATCCATAAATTGTGAAACATGCATGACGTGCAATTTTCTCTAACCACCTGGGGAGTACTGTATTCTTATTCGTGTTGCGATAAATTGTGCAAAGAACAATACATTTTATGCCGCAGAATCCTATCAGATGTCAAGATTCATCGTATGGGCAAAATCGTTGCCAGTTGCATGAATCGAGAGATCAGCGATGATGATATTTCCGCATTGTTATCATTAGCATTTTTATTACATTTATTAGCATTACAAGTATTGTAATTGATATTGACAGCAATTTTGCTATTATTATTGTTATTATCATATGGTGCTCATCTACTTATCTTTATCATAATCATCGATATCATCGTAACCATTAGCAACAACATCAACATCCTCACCATCATTATGATAGTTATCTAAGATAACTATAATGTCTCAGTGATTATCAACTTAATAATAATAATATTAATAATAATAATTATCGACGTCTTTATCCCCCATCATCATCATCGTCATCATCACCACCATCAACATCATCAGCGTCATTATTATTACTACTTTAGGCCTATTAATAATGACGCGATGAATAATGTCTTATTATTGTAGACGTTCAATTCATACTGTAGCTAACAGTTTCAGATACACTTCGTTAAGCCCGCACCAAAGTGAATTCAATAATACGTTTACAATTTCATTTATTTACACATCAATCAATTAAGGGCAACCTTCGCGTACTGGCTTGCAAATTTCTTAAATCAACAACATGGAATGATATTAAAATGTTGATGTCGGGCCTACTGTGATTGTATGGGTGCGCTAATACAATGAACTTGTGTTATAAAGTCTCAAATAGAAAATAAGCCAGAAACGATGAACACACATAATATGAACTTAATATTAACATAATGTGAAATGGGCGAACTCGATGATTAGGTGATGGCCCCTAGCTGCTGAGGTGATTTTAACTACTTAAGCTTAACTTTTTGCTTCGAAAAATTCCACTGGGGCGACTG